CACTTAAATAGAATTTTTACTGTACAAATGGGAGCGAGTTACTGGCAGAGCATTCTCTGATTGTGTTGTGTCATGAATTTATCTCCTCTACCTGAAATTATTTAGCAGACATTGATAGTTTTGTGGTCAGAAGCCACAAAACAAGCATGCTTATGTTTCTGCTTTCTCTGATCACTAGCATTGCTTCCTCAAATGCCATTAATAAACTGCTTGAGATCAGCAATCTCAGTGATGTAAAATGTTAATGACATCTGACAGACTCTTTACGCATATTAGCTCTCTTCCTGCCTGATAATGAACCTTCTACAGCCCTAATCTGGACTAGGAATTATTAGTGTTACCATCTTCCTTCTCTGGAAAAAGTGTCTTGTAAATGTGTGTTCCCCTATCGACAGAAAAAAAAAGGTTTCCTTTATTGTTGTTGTTGTTGTTGTTGTTGTTCATTGCCAAGAATGCAAGTTGAATTTTAATGGCAAACAATTTTCAAGGTGGAGATTGTGAAAATACACATTTCTGAGTGCTCCACATGCAGGTCCCAGTTCAGAGGAACATGTAAGAATATGTGCAGTTCATTTCTTTCCACTAGAAAACAAGATATTTCATTCAGCATGATGTCTCGTGATCGGCCCTACTGCCCATGTCTGCTGTACTTCTTTGAAGTGCACTGTAAGAATTATGTCCAAAGGTTCTTCAGAAAGTATATTTAAGAAGAATTTTGGAAAGAAAACAACAACAACAAAACCATCATTACCACCAAAACCCCAACTTGATATGCACTTTTCAAACCCCCAATTATCTTTTCATTCCAGTTAATTCCCCTGGCACTGATGGGACAGGGATAAGCAGTTAACTGACATTGTTCAGAGGGTCTGTCTATGCAAAGTAGTGAAGTTGATAGACATTGGGTTATCAGACCTTGTTTGTTCTGCAGGTCTCTTGCCCTGTGATGATGAATGAGAGAAAAACATGGCAATGGGTTTGTGATGTGGAAGCTGAGAACAAACCAAACACATCTCAAACAAAAACCAGCAAAAGCCAATGGAAACAGCTTTTATGGTTTTAGTACAAGGGGAATTGTTCTCAAGGTTTTGATTGTCTTGATAGCCCACTCCATGGACACATATTTTATAATTACATTACCTGGGTGGACATTTCTTAGTCAGAGTGCTCTCTCCAAATTATTTTCAGTAGCCTTGGCAAAGACATCCTTACCTTGGAATCAAGATGCCCAAACAGATTTGAGTCTTACAGGAGCACAGATTGCAGAGGCTAAGCTTAGGAAGAGCCTTGTTCATTTACCTGAGAAATTTAATTTTGATTAACATATGTTATCATTCAAAAATGAAATAGCTATTCACAAATTCTCATTAAAACTACTTTGAGAGATATCAGTTCTGGTTATTACAGGAGATTACTATTTGGCAATTATCAAATATTAAGCCAGACTTTGTATCAACCATGTTTTGCAGTCTAAAAATAATCTCAAATATTACTAGTTCTGTCTCCTTGTACCAGTTACTGGAGCTTTTACCCAGAGGGATGTGTTCAGGAGTATCCAGACTTGTAATACAAAAATAGCCCTTTAGCACAAAGAATAACTGTTTGGGTAACAATACTTGGTCAATATGGAAGAGTCCAGAGTGGGAAATACAACAGGTACTTATAGATAAATGGTACTGTTGTTTGAACATCAGAGCTGAATTTGGAGTTGGATTTGTGTTCCTTCCTGCTTCCAGGAGCAATGTCAGCAGCAGTAGAATGACAATGTCCCTTGTAGGCTGGTCTGTGAGGAGGGAAATGGAATGTAAAGTCATGGATCTTTATCATTAAGGTTTCCCACAGTGCTATAATGGGGGGAAGGAGGTGGGAGAGAGAGCAGATTCCTGCTTAAATAAGCAAAGCAAAACAGGGAACACCTCCCCCCATCTTTGTTTTTTGAGTAATTGTCCAGTGTGCATTATGAGATTACTAATTGCTCATCTCCTGTTTGAGTTGTGTTCTGAGGGTCAAATCTGTCTATGTCTTCATGGTAGTCAGTGCTTGCTAAATTATTTCTTTGGAAATAACACATACCTATGTGCCTTTTTTGGTATATTGCCTTGCTCCTGCCTTTTAATATGGGGTACTCAAACTACATTGATGCTGTAACAAAATGTATTTTTCTTCTTGGTCTATATTTTTTTTAAAATAGCTCTTAATACTCAGTTTGTCTTTCTTGCTGCTACTGAGCACAGAGACACTACTTTCAGAGAGCTATCTGCAATGATTACAAGAGCCCTTTCCTCTGTAACTGCTCAGAAGAGCCCCTCATAGAGGATATAAAGTTGGGATTAATTGCTAATAATTTAGTAATTATCAGTTCATCTGTGGGATAATGGGAAGATACCATTACACTCGGGCTCCACCAATATGATGTGGTGTATCTGAGCTCCGTGGGGTATGTGCTCTGTCAGTGATTCTCAGGTTTTTTGTGCTGGCAGCCAAAACCTAACACATACTGCTGCTGTTTGGCCTGTCTTCACCTTGTCTCTGTTTCCAGGAAGTGTTTACAATGAGTTATTTAACATTCCTGTGGGATAAAAAAATGTATTTTTCTTTTCAGCAGGACTCTGTAATTCAACAATACATTGGCTTCTGTGGCAAAGTTGTGGCTCAGAAGTTCCTCCCCTGCACCCAGTTTGCAGCCTCCTGTGTGTTCTGTCTCACTGTTCCTTAGTCTTACATCACTAAAAAGTGCTCGTTTTTAGCCTGGATTATTTCAGTGTCTTTGCGTAAATACTGCCATGCTGACAGGTGGCAAAGCACCGTGGATTGGTGGCTGGCTTCATTTGTGTAACTGCAGTATCACTGCAGTGGTAGAGCTAAAAGGAGAAATTCCTAAATATCTTGGAAAACTTGGAACATCCTGACTTCATGGTGGTTGTGTAGCTGGGACTTGAACCCAAAATCTAGACTGTTGTGCTCTCCCCTGGTGTGAATTTACACTTGAGCTGCTGTTAGCTGTTTGAAAGGGGAATTCTCAGCTGCTTTACCTTGAGTTTTGGCCTTCAAATACAAATATTTGCACGCTTTAACATAGGAAATTTCAAGAGAGTTAAGATGTATCTGAAACCATAGTTCTGTGTATATTAGTGTTCTGGCTAGTTCAGTTTCTCTCTGTACAGCAAACTGGAGGAAATGTTGATCCTGACAGATGAAGGAACATTTTGCTGTTATGTATTTGGCTTCAGGAGAGTGAAGATTTCACCCTCTGTACATCTGATGGTGCAGAAGGGTCTTCATCTCTGAGGAAGCAGGAAAGGAAATGCAGATAATACAAGTGTAAGGGTACCTAAATATATTATGAGCATTTTACGTGCAGTTTTGCACACTGTATAAAACGATGTGACATCTTAGTGAAAGAAAAAAGTGTCAAGACTTTCAAGCTCTGGGAGATGTTCTTCTTATATAACTCAGATATCCAACTTTCTCTTAATTAGCACAGTTTTGTATAAAAGGATCACAGCTATTCCTGTAATTTGATTATAACTGTAATGCCTGTGTGACACCTTTCTGTATATGATGTTATGTGTAATCCTGTGTGCAGCGACAGCTCTTGGAAGTTCTGTATTAACCTCAGTACTGTGGTTACTGGTGAATGAAATTATTGGAACAGTCTTGGACGAAAAAGTACATGGAAGGATTTAAGGCAGAACATGGCAAAGCAAAGGCTGCAATTATCTGCAGCTGAAAACAAGTAGCTTTTAATATGTCCATTCACCTAAGAAGGGAGGGAGAATTACAGACCACGTGCTCTTTCTCTCCCTTTTTCTATCATTTCTCTTCTTCTTTTTCCTTTATGCAGTTTATCACCCATAATTTCAGGATGTGTTTTGTTTCTTTAAGCTGTTTTATCTATAGGCTTATGAGGTCAGTCATGTGTGAATTCTTTTGTTAGTCACCTCACCTTTTGCCTTGATGATAGAAAATTGATCAGGCCTAAAGTACAAGTTCAATAGACAACCCCCTTGGTCCTTTGTCTAGGAGAATAGCTACCATTGAAGGCCATGAGCAGGTTGCTATTAATATGACAGCCTGCTCTATCTCCCACTGTAATTTATAATGAAATACCTAATCTCCATTATTTTGATCCAAGCAGGCGATCCCATGAAAAAGTCTTTTCATCCAGTTCCCAATGGCAGTTACATGAGAAATGGCAAACCAATAATTTTTGTCAAGTTTTTTAAGCCAACAGAAATGCTTTTCCACTGCTACAGTTTCAAAAGGCACAGATAAAGCTCATTCACTGAGATGAATGAAAAAGCCATCTGGGGTTTTTCTTTTTGACTTCCTTTCCTTTTCTCCATCCTTGTAATCAAATTTGAGCAAAATCAAATGGGGCTTTCTATGAAAGTACCTTTTGTTGATCTGAACGAGCTGGTAATTTACAAAATACCCTTCCTTTGTGAGGAAGGCTAAAGAAAAAAAGAATCAGTAGCTTTTAAAGCTGGGCCTTGGTGGGACTCTAAATGCAGTGAAAGCAGTCTGTGTTGAGAGATTGAAATGCATTTCAAAGCCAGGCCTGAGTCAGGGTACAGGGAAGAAAAAACCTATGTGCATTTTATAAGAAGAAAAACCTGAATGGGAAGGGGAAAAGAGAGAGAGAGAGAGAGAGAGGAAAAAATCTGGATAATACATTAATCATTATTTTGGAAATTGTCTTCCTCACTGACACATACTGCGTAACTAGTGATTGAGAACTTGGATTTTTGTTCTATTATAGGCATCTCAACGTTTGTCTGTGCTGCTTTAAAGTTTGAGAGGCAAGGATCCTTGAACACTGCTGGACTATGTTTTAAATGTGTATATATTTTTTCAACTTTGCTTTTTGTGGTTCTTTTTTTTTTTTTTTTTTTCTAACCTTGCCTGTGAAGTATTATAGGGAAAAATACTTGCAGGAAAGCTGAATTTGTTCTTTTTGGCAAACTAATGTTTATTTTTATTGTATTTCTGCTTACCAGATTTCCTAAGGGTAATTATTTCCCACTGACTAAGACCAAAGGACAGTGTGAACACCTAACAAATAGTAAGTTTATGCCTTGTTTTTGTTGTTTGTATTTTATGATTAATGTGGTAAAGCTGAGAATGTTTGATTAATTGCAAATTCAGTATTTTAAGAATATTATACATCTGTATGAATCTGTTAATGGGAAAAATTGATGTGGTTTCATGCTTATCATCTCTGTTACTTACTATAACTGTTTAGTGAGATACAGATAAGTGCATTGTCCTGTGTGGAAGATAATACAGCTTTTGAAATAAATACTAATTTACACGTCATATGCAGAGATGAGAGCAAGCATAGCCCATATTTTAATCTTTTCATATTTAGCCTTATTTTCATAAGGCTTATTTTCATAAGGCTTGCTTAGAACATAAAATGTTTCTCCCTTTCCACTTCTGTTTTGATTCAGGATATAAATGCTTCTGAAAAGCAGCTTTCTGGTTGCACAATATGAAATATTACCGGCAATTTCACAAAAATGTGGTCACTCGGAGTAGAAACTCTGGGGTTTATTTTTATTTTTAAGAAATCTTCTTGTGCTATTTTTACCTTGGCTTGTGGTGTGTTCTGGTAGAGAGGGCTGAATGTTACTGGCTAAGATTCTTGTTATTGTTGCTAATGAAGCACGAGTGAAACCACACTGGCTTTTAAATTTTTATTTGAAAGAGAAAGCTCGGAAATAACGTAGAACTATCAACTTTCTGTTATGAGCTGTTTAAGTGAAGTGGTATGAGACGTGATTTGTTTTGTGTTCCTTATGCATGTGTGTGGACAGTGTCGTGATACCCACTTAGAAACCACACTGTAGGAAAACAGGCTGGAAAATAAGTCTTTTGCTTTTTAACATTACCAGAACTCCCGAGCCAACCTTATAAAGTTTGAGTGTGGCTTCCCTTGATGATTATTTACCAAATAGCTTACAAAGTATTTTCTTTGATGTAACCTGACGTCTGATTGAAGTGGAGAATGCCAAAAAGTTACTTTTATATCTGAATTAATTTTCCACTTCTAGTTCTTACCATCCTATTCACTTTCAGTTTCCTCCAGGATTTGTTTTCTCACATGGTATTGAGCCATTTGCTGCCTCCTAATGACTGACTTATAAAACAGCAAACATGGAAAATTTCCAAAAAAACTTTTTTGGAACTGTCAGTGCTGCGTATTTTGTGATGATCTCCCCATTTTCATATGTTTGTCACTGATGAGAAATTCGTGAATTTTTTATGACTGTGCTCTGTGATATTTTTAGCAGAACATCAAATTTTCTACCCTGAGAAATACAGTAAACAGTGCCTTAATGGGAAACTCTTGTAGCCCTGAGAATGGAAAGAAAGACACAAGCAGTTGACTTTGTTTGGATCGTGTCATTTAGATAACATGAGAATCTGTGCTTTCATGGGCTTGCATACCAATGTCATATGGTGCTTATTTTGGTTAAATAATTTTCTCCTTCCCCTCCCCTGTTTAAAAATCGTAATTAACCTTTCTTTGTTTTGTTTTCTGTCCTTCCTCCTTTATACCTTCTTAAACTCTAAGATATAGTATTCATTAATGATTTTGTCAAATCTAATAGATTTTAATAGATTATTTAACAAATGAAACAGTAACAAAGCAAGACAGCATTCCTCACGGTCTCATTCTTGTATCAGGGCTTGTCATCTCACTCTGTGTTGTTCTTACTGCAGTGCAGCACAAACTTGCTCAAAAATTTTGGGACCTAGCAAAATGTTAATATTATTAATCATATTGGATGTAGACATCATAGGTTTTCTCTGTGTAATCCTTCCCCTCTCAGAGGTCCTTGTAAGCAGTACACATGGCTTGAACTCAGATGAGAGTGTAGAGTGGAGTTCTGATTTTGCCCCCTACTATTTACGTGTATTTGTGGATAGTCCCTAAACTTTTCCCTCGATTGAGTTTCACTCAGTGACAGCACTCCCGTTGGGGCAGAATGTTTGTAATCCACTGTAAGGTTCTGAAATGTGGTTTGGATCTTACAGGAGTATCTTCAGCTGTGCCTGATTTCAAGCTACCGAGTTTTATGCTTAAAACTTTCAAGCTCAAGCGCGTTTTGCATTAAACTATGATGAATTAGCATAATAAATTACTAGCAGTGTTTTTCTAAAATAAAGGTCCTCTATCATTTTAATCACCTGTTGGGAAGGCCTTTTTGTGGGAGGCACTCATTGCAACAAAATTCTGCCTTTTTTTTTTAGAATATATATAAATGTATGCATAATTTATATGCATAATTATGTTAGTCTTTGATTTCAATCTTTGAGAGGAGTTTACAGCAGTGACACAATAAAATGGGGAACTGAAGTTGTCTAATAAGTTCACAAGTTCATTTTCTCTGTTAGAGAACGTAATCCAGTGAAGCATAAACTGAACAGGGAAATGTAGACTGTGACAGGTTAGCAACACTGTGGGTGAGCTGTTGTATCTCTTGAAGCTACTGTTGAGTATAAATCAATAATTCTAGTGCCCAAGGTTAAGATATTTAATCAGGTGGTTTGGGTGTTTAATCAGACTGTGCTGGGTTGGGATGGGAAAAGGTTTTCAGTGGAATTTTCAGGGGCCTTTTATTGTCTTAAACAGCAGGAGGTGATGACAAAGGACAATAATTTCTGGGTCTCATGTGCTCTCTAGGGTTCTGCATTGCCTGCAAGAAACACTTTTCTTTCCAGATAAATTTCTGTCCCTGAACACTGAAGGAATATTCAGCCTTAGTGAATACCCAGAGCAGATTATGATGGAACTGGGTTCTCACAAAAGTAGTAAGAAAATGCAGATCTAGGCAGTCTCACAACTGGAAGGAGTCCCTTAAAGGTAAGGAAAAGATGAAACAGGCTACAGAAATATGTCAGAATTAGAATGAGTATAGAGTGTTAAAAAAGAGATAAGTGGGTGTTGTTGAGATAAGGAAAGGGCATTAACACTTCCATGTCCCTGGGCCCAGGCCCTTTTCCTCAGGGTCCTTAATCACTATTTAGATTGACTGTCCCAGGGCTGACTGCTGGATTCAGTTGAGAGTGACGTCTGTGTTCACATTACCTTAAAAATGGTAATGATTTTTTAAAGTTGATTTTTCTCACTATGTTGTTACCATTCAGTGTGGTGATCTTAAAAGAGATGTGAGCTTGTCCTCTGAAACACTAAATAAAGTGAGAGTTCCCACTCAGGCACTGATCAGTAGACCAAGAAAGGTCTGCAGTATCCTGTGCTGCACAGTCCTGTTTCAGTCTTTTCTGGTACCAATGTTTAATGACATCACGTTGGTGGGCTGGGAGTGTTGTAGCATTAGTTTGAAAAGTGAAGTAACATGCACAGTGTCTCTTTTTAGTCCATGAATAATATTTTGTCTTCCCTGCACAACTGGGAGAAAAAAAGGTTCCAATGTTATTTTTGTAGTTTTGTTGGATGAGGAAGACATTTTTAAACTGATGATTTGTTAATTACCTGTCATTTTGTTTATTTTTCAAAGAGCATAAAATCTGTGGCATGACTGGGGCTACAAGCAGTAGTTTTTTTCCTTTTCCTGGTTAATAAAGCAGACCTGGGGGACACTCACAGGAATATTTGTAACTTCAACTTCTTCAAGGACTTCTGGCATAGCAACAGCAACATGAAATTGTCCTCTTCTGACAATTTGTCCTTAGACTTAGAAAGTCTAAGTCATAACACTCTCTGAGAAAACTTGATCTGAAGCAGAGTTTAGAGGTAAAATTACTGTTTGCTGCAAAGCTCCTTGCTTTGACACAGCTAGACTGCTTTTTACCTGAGAGACCTCCACTGGGATCCCTTCTAACTGATTCAGGAAGTGGAAGCTGTGCATTCATTGACAGTATGTTAACACTGAGGGATGTCCTTTTCAGCATCAAGTGCTTATAGCCCTTAATGGTATTTCTGATTTTAACTGTAGGGCATCCCTTCCATCTTACTTAAAAACACTACCCCGTGTAAAATAGTTTTGTTGTGGTCAGCCTGTGAAAGGTGGAATATTTAGAACAGCCACACGGAGCACTGTGTGCTTCACTGGATATCATTCATTCTTCATTCTTCCAGTGGCTATCCTGCTGACAGGGATACCTAGTGCTCCAAACAGAGCACTCTCACTCCCTGTGCCATGATGTGCAGACAAGCCACAATGACACCTCTGCCCCTGCAGTCTTCTGAGCAGTCCAGTGTCTGCTCTCTGAAGTGTTATTAACAAACACTTCCCAATGCTGACTCCTTGTTTTAAAAGAAAGTGGTTTAAATCAACTATTTTGAGTTGAGCTATGGTTGATTTTGGGTAGGGCGGAATTATATGATGAAGGATCCAACATGCTATTGCTTTTTCACATCCCTGTCACAAAGAGAGCCTGTGGTAGATTGCAATATCTGTGCCTGGTCAAGGAGGTTTTGTGATGTAAATTACTTGTAGTGCTGTTTCTTAACCCTGTGTAAGAGGAGCCAGGCTTAAGAGAGGCAGCAGGCAAAATCCACGAGTGGCAGGAGCTCTAGTAGCCTCCTAGGCAAATAAACTCTGTAACTGTGCACGAGACAGTGGAGTTCCTCTGTGAAAGAGAGTGCACTTGGTGCTGAACTGCTGCCTTAATGCTCGGGACAGCTATGGCTGGATTCCACTACAGTTAATTGCAGCTAATTATATAAAAGGTATATTTGGAGCCTGAGACAAAGGATATCAGTTAAAGTAATGGGCAAGCACAAACTCTGATGGTGTTAAGTCCTTTCTCTGTTTCTGTGTCAGATAAGCCTCATTAGACAAAAAACACAACTAGATTTGAGCTCATAGTATGCCATGTACAGTGTGTATTTTATCCACATTATATACTTTATGTACATTACTACATCTTAGATTCCTGTTTGCAATAATCTTTGTGTAAGTATTCATGGGTAGAATTGGATTAAAGTCATCAAAGTTCCAGACTAGGAATTTACAGGGATGTTTCTTCTATTTTGAACTGAAGAATGTTATGATGTACCAGGAATGTCTCTCAGATTTTTTTAACTTTGTT